GACTCTTCTTCATCCTTGAAGCTGGAATTGTGTCTGCAGRAGCCCAACTTCAGAGGGCAGGGGAGAGGGATTGCTTGCTTGTGTGATGCAGGCTGGGAGAGAGCTGGGAAGGGTCTCCCAATCCTGGGTGATTTGGCAGGTGTGGTGCTGGATGAACCAGCATTTCCCGTGGCYGTGGAAAGCCTGCTCCAGTGCAGTGTTTTGAAGGCTGCTGTGGGTCTGTGGCCCCGGTTTGGGACCTTTTGCAYGAAAAATCAAAGCAGGGATCACCCTGAGCCCACCCATTCCCTGACACCACAACCCAGCAAGGCACAGCTGCGAGGGCWCATCTTGTGCTCCAGCCCAAAACGGTTCCCCAGGAATGTGTGAGTTTTGGAAATGTCTTTTATGGTGCCTTGTTTACACCTTAAACAATACAGTCTGAGAACTTGGCGGGGACATCTTCTGTTCCTGGGGTCTGCAGCCTAAAAGAACATTTTAGCACCTATCTTGCAGACAGACAGGGCTGGCTTTGGAAATAACCYTTAGTGTCAGACTTACAAAGCTGTTTAGAGGATTAACTCCTATTGAGCATCTCAGCTTTGAAGGAAATTGCACTAGGGAGTACTCACTGAGGCAGAGTTTCATCCRCTGTAAATAAATACCATTGATTTGGACTTTCACAGAGCTCCGTAACAGAGTAGATTTAAAGGAGCATGATGCACATAAGATTTAAAAATAAATTTTACAATTCGGAGTCCTGGTGCCCTGACATCTTTATGATTACAAAAATAATAAACATCATTCTTAAAAAAAGAACCCACAAAAAAAAAAAACAAAAAAAAACCAAAACCAAACAAAAAGCCAGCCCTAGAAATTAATCTCGTAGTGAGGTCAATCCTCTGACCAATCCTTTGAATCTGAAATCTTTCCTTTTTCTGAAGTAAGGTTTCTTCTTTGGATCTTTAGGAGCAAACTAACAAATGCAGGTAGCAGCTATACTTMGACTGCTCTGCCTGCCCTGTTGCCTTCTCCCCTCCTCCTGTCCCYTCATCCTGGGATAAAGCCTGGAGAGCAGGCAAGTGTTTAAGCTGCACATTATAACTAGGACAAGCTGTTTCTGAGCATTGTGGAAAACATWTCGGAGCCTAACAGAGAAGGTGGCTGGGAATTTAGGTCAGGTGGAGGTCAGAAAGAGGGTTAATTGCTGAACTACCCTGCCAAATGCGGGGGTGTGGAGGAGCTTCTTGTGTTCCTTGGTGGGTCCAGCCCTTAAAACAGCCTGTTTGCTCACAGAAATATTGTTTTACCCCAAGATGCACAGCCAGGGGAGAGCCGAGGACTGGCAGAAGGTGCAGTATCATGAACACATTACAGAGAGAGAAGTTCTCTAAGGTAAAGGAATGTATCTGAAATTAATAAAGAAAATAACAGGTTCTAACTTTCACTTTATTTCACAGACTGTGTTGCTTTTTCATCCTGTTGATCCAAACTCTGGTGATTGCCTTTCCTACATTCAGAAGTCTTTTTCAAGGAGATGTGAGTTTACACCCTTTAAAGGCTTAGTTGTACCATTAATCATTGAACATTCCTTTGAACACTGAATTTAAACGTTTCCCTTTTTGACCCTACAAAAAAAAATTATTTTATTATTGTGGAGGTTTTGCTTTTCTTTAATCTCATATATTCATTTTCAAATCACACAGATGGTAGTCACCCTAGAATGCCCTTCAAGGTATTTTAACTCAGCTTTTTAATGACAACACATTTTATTATATTTATTTCCTTTCAGCAAAGTTTCTAAGACCTTAAAAAACCCACACAATTATTTTACAGTTTGGAGAGTATTCTGAGCTGGTTGCTATCCGTGGTTATGTCACCTTGCTTTGTTGATTCTTTTTTTCCTCACTCTTAACTGTTTGAGTGAGTGGTACAGCATGCAATAGCACAGTAACTGTTCAACATAAAATTTCCAAATAACAGCTGATGGAGTTTGTTGAAAAGAAATGAAAAAAWTTCCAAAAGGAGAGGACAAATCTATGGGAAATATTGAAATAAAGTAGCAATAAACAATGGTTTGTTTACACTGGAAAGTCTATTTACATAACAAGCAGCAAACAAACTCTTACTGGGTCCCATCCTGCCAGACTCATAAAATATTTAAAGAGTTCTAATACTGCTTTTCAAATTGAGCTTTTGTAAGTTTCTCTTGTGGAAAGCTTTCTAGTTTTTAAACCAATGAGAATGTTGATAAATTTGGGGTTGCTTTTTTTTTTTGGTTTTAATTTGTATCAGTCACTTGTTCAGCTGCTGTTCACTGATATTACTATGGTACAAAAATAAAGCTGTTTTGGGGTTGTTTTTGAAAAAAAAAAGGATCAACATACTGTTCTTAATATGCTATGTGTGATGTGATTTTCCCTGTGGATTATCCTGGTAGAACTAATATGTTTACGGAATTTGAATTAAAACAGATTAAATACCTGCAAAGATGTGCACTAGAGATTTTGTTTTCTTCTTCAAATCTCAAAAATAAGCCACTGTTTCAAAAAGACAAGCTGAAAGTATCAAGAGAGACAAGAAATAAGGGCAGAACCACAAATGATCAGAACAATCTGGTATTCCAGATATTTAACCTCAACCTCTCCCCTTTCTTTACCCTCAGTAAAGCAGGGATGTATTTTGACTGTCTCTACAAACAGTGAAACAATGCCATCTTCTCAGCTTATGGATGTTTGTGTATCAGGATTCCAGTCGAGAATTTCTATGTAATCAAATCCATTACATTATCATTTTAGCATTTTACTATYGGAGGATCATAAGAAATGACCCAATGCTACCAAGGTTTCATTTGTAAGGCTGTGCACAACTTAGAATTATCTGATATGACATTTGATAACTCAGGAAATAAACCAACTTGTTAGTAGTACAGTTCTGTGTATCCTCATCAATTTCACATTCAAGCATTTGTATATCTGAAAACCTTCAGCAAATGAAATTTAAAAAAAAAAAAAGACAAACAAGAACCAAACATCCCTTGCAATGTGTCCTTGTTCAAGAGTACAGAAAACCAAAACAAGATGTTTTTAATGGTATATGACATTGTAAACAATTTAAGTCTTCAGCATATGTTTAAAGGACACTTTAGGATTTTAGATTTTTAGCTGAAGTGTAGGATAACCACGTGATGCTATTATTGCTCAAATAGTGAMGAGAAGCCTTGTGTCTGTGTTATTCCCAGAAGAACCTAGGCTCTTATTTTCCTGTGCACGTGAAGAAAGCTTTCCACTGGAGAAGGCTGCACAAAATGTGCTTTTCACTGTCAGGCTGTGATGCTCCTCCTGGCCAGCCAAGCAGAACCAGTACCTGATTTGCAGGCAGACATGATGCCTCCACCACTAACCCCTTTCAAAAAAAAAAAAAAAAAAAAAAAAAAAAAACCAAACAAAAACCCCAAACACCATATCCAGCAACATTTTTACATATGCTTCAAGAGGAAAGTGGAACCAGGCATAGGTGGGCCAGGCACACAGTTTGCAGTATGCAGATGTAGATGATTATCAGCTGTCATGGTAACACCTTCATTTACTGGGATTCTGTCCTCAGCAATTCAGCAGATTTGTAAAAGGCCAAAAGATGCATAGATCCTAATTCTCAGGTCTGCCTTCTAGTTCTGTTTGTTTAAAGATATTTTTTTTGTCTGTTTGTTCAATTTCTGTGTGATTTCTTCTGTAGGTTTCAGCAGACTATATACATATGCACACATACAATTACATATGTATGTGTATTGTTTTGTAAATGTTCTCAGTCATGCTCTCTTCTGCTTTGCATCATTTATTCATATACCTTCCAKGTTCTCATTTATTTTTTGCGCAATTAAACCTTATAATAAATTATTAAATATAACCTGACAGTGACAGAGTCTTCATGTTTTGTTTTCTTCTGGTTGTGGGGGGAGTGGAGGGGGTGAAGGAGTGGGGAGGAAAGCAGGGGCTACACTTCTACTCCATCCCCAAATAGAAAACACTGAAATTACCGTGGTGAGTGGCAAGAACCCTGTAAAACCACAAAGCTGTCAGATATCAAGCTKCTGTTCATACTTTTAAATCTAGGTTCAAGGAGCCCTGATATATTTGCTTTTGTCAGCTGAATAGTACTGTTTGCCTGGCAGCAAAATAACACCTCCTGTGTGGAAAACCATGGGTATTTATTATTCTATAGAGTTCTCAATTTGAGATGCAAAAACCAGGGATGCAGACAACATCAAACACATTTTCTTTCTCACCCTGTCACATAAGCTTCTCACAGACATAGATTTCTCTGACCAAATTAACTTTATGTAAACATATGCAGCTCCATTCTGCACATCAGAGCTGTTCCAAAATTGTTACTTAAGAGTCCACCTACTAGGTGAAAGTGTTTCTTTTGCAGAAGGACAAATAGTCTCTAATCCTGTKCATGAATCAAGGGGTGGGTGAACTTTGCAGGCTGCAATCCAGCACCAACACAGCCAGGGTCGCATGGCTGTTGTGTTGCCCTGAACAGCCAGTTTTTAATAATGACACAGACACAGTTAAGGGGATAAAAAGGGTATTTGGGATCCCAGGTGCACAACTTGATGGCAGAATGCACCTGTGTATAGCATGGATACAAGTTTTATAGGTTTCAGGAATTAGCATATCTATCTAGGATTCTCCAATAAGAAACTTAACAAATGCAGTAATGTCCCTCTATTCTAATGAATTCCCCCCAGATGAGGCCAGAGCCCAGTTTTCACAAAATGTTCCAGAGAGAAGGCTTTACCCAAGGCTGGAGCCTCGGGTTTAAGATAGCACAGGGCACACTGACTCCTTCCTCAGGATGTTTGGTCTCTCTGCCCAGCAGAATTCTTAAAACTAAGCTGGACTATCAGGTTCCAGGAATCACAAGCATGTGAGCTGAGGGGTACAGGTACAGGAAGATGCATAGAGGGTACAGCAACTGTAAAAAGGAAAAGCAAAACTCATCAGGCATCAGTCATGCTAAAGCAGCCCAGGTGCTGCCCAGCACAGCCAGTTTGACCTTCCACGTCTTGCCAGCACAGAGAAAATAAAGTCTGTGCTGCAAATGAAAGGCCTGTGCTCTGGGTACTTCATTCTTAAGAAAGAACCTAATGGTCTTTTCTTATGTTTGTGTGAGACGTTTTTGCAGTTGACGTAAATCTCCTCTGTCTGCTGGAGCGATGATTCTTCTCCTTTCTCTGCTGTGTATGCCATGAAAATTGGATCTTCCATAACTGTTAGCAGGAGGCTAGAAGAACATTAAAAGGAAGAAAAAAGAAAAAAGTTTAAGGACTTTTATCAAAACAGCTACCTCTTTGAAAAAGGAGAAAAATGGCAATTTTTCTTCAGATGCTGATTTATTACTGGGAAATTTTTAACCACCAATAAAAATGATTTTTTTTTGTCTTCTTGTTTTCTGTGAATACATTTCAGATTCAAGTCATATGAAAAAAGCAAGTTGCAGTGTGAATATCTGATCCYTGGTAAAGCATCAGTGAAATACCCTCTTTCCTTCACACACACACTTCAGATACTGACACAGTGTCTCCTACTTCAATCCTAAAAAATTAATTATTCTGAARCTATTGACTATGCTAAGAATTACTCATGTCATTTAGACAACTTAATGCTACAGTGCCTGGATGAACTGGTGTGGGAGGAAAGGTGGTTTCTGAAGCAAATGGCTGGTCCCTAGCCCATGGTCACTCTAGGAAGAGTTTCATCCTGCTGCATACAGTGACCCAGCAGTCAAAATGAGAGAAATTGGCTTTATATGGACATATTGGCAGTGGAGCTTGCCACTGGATCACACAGGAGTGAGATCTGAGAGGAGAGAGGTGGTGGGGCAGAGTCTCACATCCACTGTGAAACACACATTTCCCTAAACACATCCCTGATTCAGGGCGTGAAGAGACAAGACAGAAGCAGTGAAATTGGTTCCTGTCTTTCCACCTCTAAACTTCAGGGCTTGAATAGGATTACTAAGGGAGAAAAAAAATACTCAGTGTTCCAAAACATTGATTGTTACAAAAAAAAAAAAAAAAAAAAAAAAAAAAAAAAAAAAGAAATAGCCATCCCAAATAATTACAGTGGAGCTGAACCAGAAAAAAATAGATAAGACAAAGGGTATCATAGAATATAATTTTTTGCCTCAGTTTTACAAGTGATGATTTGAAGAAAAAAAGACATTAGCAAGATACAAATAATAAAAAGGCTATCAAACCAAAAGAGCAAATTTGTTAATAACCTGGCACAGAGTAGAGTCTCTAAATRTAGCTGTAAAGTATTAAAGGATATTCACCAAAAAATAATGAATAACAAAAATCATATTTTAAAATCTTCAATTTTTCCTGTCAATATAGTTTAAGGTTAGACTACAAGATTCAGGGGATATAAAGWGCAGACATAGAAGAGAAAGATCTTAATGAAAATACAGTACAGGCCATGACTAAGCTCCATCTCGACAGGTGACCTTACCCAGGTTTGAGCTGTGTACAAAGCCTTCGATAATGCCTCTGTGATCTTCCTCTCCTTTCTGAAGTCATACATTTAGTCAGAAACACAGTGGGGGAAACTGCACCATACATGATACCACAGACTAAAATATCTAATTCCAGCATGCAAGAGATAATGCTGTTATTGCTTACTTTCCCACTGAAACCAATAAATACAATTAAATAYCAGGTTGACTTGCAAATTGCAACATGCATGAGATTAGCAATGTGTCATAAAAGCCTGAAAATGCCCTTTGAGTTTCAGAGAGAAATACTRATATTGCCCAAAATTCCAGCAGCCTCATATATTGTGATGGGGGAGAAATACATTTTCTGCTCACTATTTCTTTACATTGGAAGCAGAGTGTTTCKGGTTCAGACTGCTAGAGATTTTTGGCAAGGAATACAGCAAAGTTAGATAATGGTTTAAACTATTAGTTTGCATCCAGCTGTAAATTTGTAATGTAAAGTCAGAGGACAAAAAATGCTAGAAGATGTAGAAAACTTCAAGATTTCACCTGTCCTCTGAGTACAAAATAGGAAGAGAAATGCCTAGCTTGATGTTACTCCTGAAAATCACAAATCACAAGTTGTTTCAGCTAATATCACAGTAAGCATTTAGCTGACAAAGGAACTTGAGTAAGCCATTTGTTTTCCCAATGCAAAAAAAAAA